TTTCCGGAAAGCACCGGAAGTGATCTCTCGCGTGTGTACGTCACTCATACAATTTTTTTTTTTTTTATTGTTTTCTTTTACGACAGATTAACCATCCCGAATAAGCGCAAATTAGTACCCTTTTAATTAGCCGTCTTACCTACAATCTCTGTTCTGTGTAAACAATGAGTGACGTACACGTGCGAGAGATCACTTCCGGTGCTTTCCGGAAAAGACCGAAGCGCCGGCACCCTCAGATCACTTGGACGTGGCTGTGTTTACAAGAGGTAAAAACTATATAAATACTGTTCGTTTTCTCACACAAACCGCTCGTTTCGTGTCTTAGGCCATCAATGTGTACTTACTTACATTTACGAGTCATTAAGTCATGTTTAATTTGGACTTCTCTGTGCATGCTCTTTGAGGTGGTGACCATAGACCTGCATTATATGACTGACAGACAAGAACGGTTTGACTTAAAATTATCAAAATTGAAAATACTGCGGACACAAAGACACCTACATCTTGGATGCCCTTGAGGTAAGCTAAAACATATCAAAAATTAATTTCAAAGTGAACTATCCCTTTAAGAGCGTGACACGTTGTCATTAAACACGAGCGAAATTCATTTGCGTGTAAAACGCTCATCTCGCAAAAAATTGTTGCATTAAATTGAACGTCACATTTTTAGATCAATTTAAACGCGGTTTCCGCTTGGGTTACATGAACAAAATCCCAGTTTCGCATTCAATTCATTCAGTAGCTTTGTTTCCATCCACGTGTTTTTATGTGAATTTTGGGATATCGCGTACAAAATGCCAGATGGAAAACGCCAAGATGCGTATAAAATCTTAAACTCAATTGAGACGGATCATTTTTGTATTTGGTAAGAAAACGTGCGCATAATAAACCGATGAAAACAAATGAACTAAATATAATCGTGATTGCGAAACACGTGACTTTGCCTCAACAGATAATGTGATTGGATAACTGAACTAACCAGTGGATCGATCTCATTGCACACCATCTAAAATATTGTTTTAATCATTCTGAAATACCCGAGCCAAAGTCTGTCATCAAAATGACTTGGCTCACATGATTACATTCCCAAACATCAGGCATCCGAGCACAAGATAACATGGAAGCGTTTGTTCCTGCGTTTCGTCTGCATGCTCTGATCCACAAGCAATTCATTATGTTTCGGGGGAAAAGAGTCGTAGGCTGGTTGCAGCAACTTTTTATCAGTTTATTAATACTGTGCGCCAGTTTCACAAGATTTTGTTCTCTTGAACACGTACGTTTGGAAACGGCTTTATTCATATTCCAGTTCAATTCGCAACTCGAGATGAAAACACATGTGAAAAATACGCTCGATTGTTTCACGAATGAGACACTGTTATGTGTCCGTAACGACGACTCTCATTGCCTTAACCGAACGGGTCGTGCTGGGCCAGCACAGGGAGTCGTACCGAGAGGAACGGGGCGTTTAGGACCTGAGAGGAGCGATTCTGTTGACGAGAACGTGCTTTAAATAATCCCTTCTCAAAGCCGCTGACACGGCTAATGACGTCATTTATTCGCAAGCACCACTAAACTCAGAGAAACTAAGGCATCCATAACCTCTCAAGATTCACTTTGACAAGTTTTTTTTATATATACAATTTTGTAGTATTTCTGTAGTCTATATTTCATATTCAAATACACATATATATTAAGATTTAAATATAAGACTATTTGGCAAGCAGTCGGCTGCTGGTTGCCGTAAGTATTAGCTTGTAGAGTGTTGACGTTAGGTACTATAGAGCAGGAAAGAGCACACCTGCATGATTTATTATCTAACGATTCCTAAATCGCAACAAAAAAGCCAAGGATCCAATATATAAATATATATAAACGCTGCATTAGTTTTGCATACTACCACATTATGAACAAAGTAAGTCCTATGTTAAACCTAAAGGAATTTTGTTTATCTAAGGGATTTTTACCATCACACTGCAACAATGTTTCTGTATTTGATAATTTTATTGTTCTTTTATTATGTATATACACATATGCAGGGACATGATGGCATATAAGTTGTATTCAAATTTAAAAAATATATTTTATGATATGGCCTTACTGTCCTGTGGCCAAAGCACTGATATTATATATTTGCTGTAAAAAAGAATTAAGATTTTTATTTTTCTGATATTAAAGTTCCTTAATAAATTGTTTCATTTTAAACTCACTTACCTAAGTGCTCTGTGTGATTTGAGTTTTGCGCTCAGCCAGGTTCATCTGTATTTGTACGGGCTCCAAGCTGCAGTCACACGGCTGTTGCGGGAATAATCTGAGAATAAAATATTCTGGAGACAGTTTGGTAGTATAGTTCTCCGTTATGAAAAATTGGTTACTGAAGTTATTAATCAATTTGACTACAGTCGAAAAAAAGATGCAATTTTAGATAGTAACCAAACGTTAAAAAAATACAAGATTGTCACTTTTAATAGTTTCAGAGAGAAAGTTTTCATCGTTAAATTACACTAATGACTGAAAGTAATCGAAAAGATGGTATTCTCATATCTACAGTGTTTCAGTCATATGGTGATGGTGATGGTGATATCAATCACCGTTGATCAGATAAAGTCATTATGTTGATGTACACGTCAAAAGAACATTAACAGAAAAACACTAATAGGTGAAGAAACACACTTCTCCTTCAACCTGAACAAGTCAACCAGGCTCAACAAGTCACTCATTCACACACACACACTTCAACTGTCTCTCTGGTTGAACTTGACACACAGGCTGTACTCAGAATGGAATACTAGCATGCAAACTATATACTGCATACTTGCTTTTTGTTTGTTCGTTTGTTAAAATATGTGAAACGGTTTGTAATATACAATGTGAAACATTTAACCCTCTGGTGCTCTTCAATTGTTTTAAAAAAAAAAAAAAAAATTTTTTTTTTACTTCGTCGGAATGGTATGAAACTTGGTAAAGATTTTGGCACTTGCTATGTGAACACAGAAAAGGTGATTCGAAATGGTTAAATGGTCCTGAATAAAATAGTTACACTTGTATTGACTGTAGTCAAAAATGCTGCATTGGAAACGAATTTCATCTAGCGGAAACGTTTGGTGCGCACAAATAAAAAGCTAATTTTTTTGAGGTATCAAGCTCAAATTTGAAACAACTTGTTTCGATTTATGGCTTAGATTTTCTCGCAGTTTTAGAGTAAACATGTTTTGTAAAATATATTTCATATGAAATTTGAAAATAGTATTTTTATATAACTTATTTGACTTTTTTACGTTCACTATTTTAAAACTTCACTTCAGCAATAATCTGCCAAGTGTCTTCTTTAATGAAAAGAGGCCAAACTGAAGTCTGTGCTCCAAAGCATTCAAGATTTATGACAGTTTAAGTCGGAAATTTCATTTTCAGGTCTATGCGCAAAAAAAAAAGAATCAATTAAATACCATAAAATCCCCTAAAAATATTAGGAATTTGATGCAAAAACATTTCAGCAGGAATTTCAGTCATTTTTGACAGGCATGCGAGTGGGACCAGAGGGTTAAACCAGTAGTTTGTTAAATTATTGTCAAATTGAGTCAAGTTACATGTTTAATTTAGCGAATGGTATCCAATTATCATCTTGAAAACAATTGCAATTTTTGCATTTGAAATCTTATTTTATGTAATAATATATTTCATTTTTGGCAGTCTGAAATAGTCAAGAATGAGAAAATCATGGTTCATGTCACTTCGCTACTTCCATATTACTTTAGTCGTACTGAAAATAGAAGGTCCAATAGAGCATTATGCATTGTTTGTTCATATATGCACTGTGAACAATATACTTACTGCATGCTGCAAAATATTAGTATGGTAGTAGTATGCCATTCTGAACACACCTTCAGATTCCACACTGTTTGATTATTACAGGCCAACATGATCATGCATCACTAAGAAAAAAGATGAACAAATGTGCATACAATTAAGACAAGACAAAAAAAATCTGTTTTTCAGTATTCAGGATATCTAAACCACCTGAGCTAAATTGAGTTTTATATCAAAGAAAAAATGCATTTCTAAAAGAAATCATATTTCACGTCTTCTAATAGTGTAAAAAATGAAAAGAAAAGAAATCTTCACACCAAACAAATTCAAAGTCCATTGAAAAGTAGTTTTAACTGCAGGTTCTCATTTAAAGTGACAACAGAATACCAAAGTTCACTGAGATAGTCCTAAAAACTTCACTTCAGTATTTTGTCACTTTATACGAGAATCTTCAGTAAAATACTACTTTTCAATTGTTCAATTGTTGGGTGTGTGGATTCTTCATTTTGTTTCTATGCACCCAGAAACTACTTTTCATGTACACACTGGTGCAGGACTTCTTCATATTGTCTAATAGTGTAAAACAAGAGGAGTCTGTTTTTGTTGTGACTGCACTCATTTGTCTGCTCTCTGAAAGAATAGAGAAGTGATTGATAATGTTCCAGGAAAAGCTCAGGGAAAACAACCATTACAAGTGATATAAAGTAACCGAGTGCTTGATATAAACGAGTGAACATTAGGGTTATAAAAAATACTGCATAGCAATTTAAAACACAGACACACAACACACACACACACACAAAGGACAATATTCTGGCCACATACTCACCGCAAAGATATGAAAATGCCAAACACAAGATGAACAAATTTTTGTGCAATAGCTGTAATATTCACGTATGTATTTCATGAATTGCATTATAATTTAGTTACATTACTTCTGTAAATATGAAAACGGCCTCATTCATGCAAAACAAGCTGAATTGTTTTGTGGAAATCCTTCATAAAATCATTCTTACACCAATTGTTTACAGAGGAATAGTTTCATGAGCCATCAGCTGTTTAGTTACGCAATCCAGAATTTCTCAGTAAATAGTTGGTAAAAACCATTCTTGCATAAATGACTGTATTCAATTTAATGCAATAATTTACAAACTTTCATGAACCGTCATTTATGAACGCAACAATTTATATTCGGAATTTTCTGTGTTTGAAAAACCTTTCAATTCAATGCAATAAAGGAAAATGGTTTTACGAACTACGATGAATGACAACCTGAATGAATTTCTTAGTAAATTGCTCATAAACTATGTTGTATAAATAAAAAATAAAAGAATCCAAATGATTTGCACATGGTTCATCTTGTGTTGCGCAGAACAGGATTAATCTCTGACGTGTGTATTTGGCTACAGTGTGTGTGTGGCCACTGTATAGATCCGAAACTCATCATGACGACACTGGATTAAATGCGATATGATATCATTTCTGAACGTCTCCAAACGAGTCCATTTCTTGTGTGAACATCAAAAGTGAAGGTTTTAAAAAAAGGTTCTGAACAGTTCTGTTTGATCTAGTGTTGTTTTGTAGCATTTGCTGGTTTTCAATCTTATGTGAGATGCCACGGCTAAAGTCAGGTCAGTGAAGTCGTTTTGAGCTATATGATTTATGCACTGTTCTAAATGTCCGATCATCAGTCCAGAGGTTGCGGGTCGGCTATAGGCATGGTGTGCAGAACCTCGTCCAAGAGCTGAAGGGCCCGGTGTAAATGAATTTCGATCCAGCACGGGGTCTCCTTGATGCTCTGGCGAGGGTAATCAGGACCCCAGCCCTTCACGAAACTCATGCGCAGAATGCAGAGACGCCGCAGGTCGTCCACGCCGATGCCTGCCGCCGCAGACAGACCTGAGGATTAAATGAAAATCACTTTTTAAGTGGTGTGTTTTTTCAAAAATAGAAATGTTAATGGAAACGAATATCATGAAAATCATTCGGTTCCAGTTGTTTTGTTTAAAAAAAGAACAAACATCATGAAATTTATTTGGTTCCAGTATTAAAAAAAAGAAGAAGAAAAGAACTGTTAACTGAACCGAAAGTCATGAAAATCATTTGGTTCCAGTATTTTTCTCAAAAAAAAAAAAAAAAAAAACTGTAAACAGAATTGAGTCATGAAAATCATTTAATTTGGTTCCAGAATTAAAAAGAAGAAGAAAAGAAAACTGAAAATGTTATGAAAAGTATTTGGTGCCAGTATTGTTTTTTTTTAAAGAACTCTTAACTACGGAAGCCCTGAACCGCAACGTAAAAAAAAAAAAAAAAATCAGTAAAAAAACAAACAAAAAAACTAGCATTTCGAGATTAAAGTCGAAATATTTCGAGATTAAAGTCGAAACCGCAATGTAAAAAAAAAAAACATTTCGAGATTAAAGTCGAAATATTTCGAGAGTACAAGAATACAGTCTTCCGTGGAAGTTGCGTGTGTGCTTGCCATTGCTTCACATTGCCGCACACACAGGCATTCATAATGGTGCATAGCGAGTGTTTCACACTGTGTGTGTGTGTTTTTTGTTTCAACAAAAGGAAATTCAACAGGTGCCAATCTACCAGATAGGCTACCATTATAGGACGTTATAAAATATACTGCGCCGGAATAGACTTTAGCCTATAGGAAAACCAACCCGGAAAACACTTTTCAGACTGGATGGAGATATCCAGCTTTATGAATGAATGAATGAATGAATGAATGATTGAGGCATTTATATAGCGCTTTCATATGTCTACACTCAAAGCGCTTTACAATCATATCAGTGAATCTCTCCTCAACCACCATTAGTGGTTATTAAATCTGAGGAAATCACGGGATCCGGCCAAATGATTGGATACAGAATGATAAAATGTATCCAGAACGTATTTACGGTGAAGAGGGAGACAGAACGGTTACTGTTGTGTTCTCGACCCAGATAGTGTGTTGCCTAGACGAGGACGAAAACATTTCAAAAACACTGCCACATAAAGTTTGGACTCATTGTGATACTCCGGCGGAGTCTGTGCGCTCGTCTATAATAGGCAACGCCATGGTAATTCTTGTTGGTAGATTAGCACCTGTGTAGAATTTTGTTGAAAGCCCAGATAACACACACACACGCGCGCTCTGAGCCAGTGGACGCGCACTGTTATGAATGCACACACTTCTATGGAAGACTGTATTATCGTAATGTTTCAACTTTATTCTCGAAATGTTTCGACTTTAATCTCGAAATGTTTCGACTTTAATCTCGAAATGTTTCGACTTTAATCTCGAAATGTTTCGACTTTAATCTCGAAATGTTAGGTTTTGTTTTTTTTACAGATTTTTTTTTTTTTTTTTTACGTTGCGGTTTCGACTTTAATCTCGAAATATTTCGACTTTAATCTCGAAATGCTAGTTTTTTGGGGGTTTTTTTACTGATTTTTTTTTCCTTTTTTTTTTTCGGTTCAGGGCTTCCGTAGTTAACAGAACCAAACGTCATGAAAACTATTTGTGTCCAGTATTTATTCAAAAAATTATATTACCGGAATCAAACATCATGAAAATCATTTGGTTCTTGTATTTGTTTTAAAAACAATTGAAAAGATAATTGCGACTTTTTATCTCACTATTGCGATATCACTCAGAGTTGCGAGATATAAACTTGCAACTGCGAGTTATAAAGTCAGAATTTTGTGATTAAAGTCGCAATTGCGAGTTTATATCTCGCAATTCTGAGAAAAAAAGTCAGAATTGTGAGAAAGTCGCAATTACCTTTTTTTTTTATTCAGTGGCGGAAACAAGCTTTCATAGAGCGTAATGAATATCATTTGGTTCCAGTATTTATAAAAAAAAAAAAAAACTGTTACCAGAATTGAACATCATGAAAATCATTTCATTTGGTTACAACAAGTGTAAACTATGGAAACTTGTTTCCGCCACAGACTGAAAAATAAAAAAGGCAATTGCGACTTTTTATCTCACAATTGCGAGTTTACATCTCGCAATTCTGACTTTATTTCTCAGAATTGCGAGATATAAAGTCAGAATTGAGTGATATAAAATCGCAATTGCGTGTTATAAAGTCAGAATTGCGAGATATAAAGTCAGAATTGCGTGTTATAAAGTCAGAATTGCGTGATATAAAGTCAATTGCGTGTTGTAAAGTCAGAATTGCGTGAAATAAAGTCGCAATTGCGTGTTATAAAGTCAGAATTGCGAGATATAAACTCGCAATTATGTGTTATAAAGTCAGAATTGCGAGATGTAAACTCGCAATTGTGAGAAAAAAAGTCAGAATTGTGAGATAAAAAGTCGCAATTCTGTCTTTTTTTCTCGCAATTGCGACTTTATTTATCAGAATTGTGACTTTATATCTCGCAATTGCGACTTTATTTCTCAGAATTGCGACTTCATATCTAGCAATTGTGAGATAAAAAGTCGCAATTATTTAAAAAAAAAAAATTATTCAGTGGCGGAAACAAGCTTCCATAGTAAACAGAACCGAATGTTATGAAAAGTATTTGATGCCAGTATTTTTTTTTTTTTTTAAAGAACTGGCACTGAATACGTTTAGTCTAATAATAAGATCATTTTATGGATTATTCCACAAATTCCAATCTTTCAGTTAATAGCCCAGTTTGCCGCACGCAGCTCTGATTAATAGTGTCAGAAAACAGATGTAGAAAAGCCTCACTGATAGCAGGGGCGATGCCCCCCACAGAGCCCGGTCCCGGGATGTTCCCCGCCACCGCAGCCGCCTGCGCAGACGCTGCCGCCTGAGCCGTCGCTGCCTGCTGCTGCATCTGCCGGTGACACTGGCGCAAGTCAAACACCTGCACACACACACACACACACAACAGAGGCTTTCAGCACTGGCTGAACGTGTTATGCATCCTGTAGTCCTGCTAAACTACATTAGGTGGACATTAAAGGACATAAAGGACACTTGTTAGTTACACTGCACTGAAACGACAAATACTACGAAAAAAAGATGACTTTTTAAATGTGGTGCATGGGCGGAGTAAATTAATTTACACAAATTCATAGCGAAATATTCAGATAAATGCTGCTGTTGACTAGGTTTTGACTTTTTTCTAATTTTATTAGTTGCATTTAGTGTCCTTGTTTTACTTGGGTCACATAAACATTGATAATTGTAAACATAATAGTTGAATATTTAATAATTATTCGTTATTATACATATTCTGATAATAAAACATTAATATGAGTTAATATTATTATTTCATATTATTACTATTCTGATAGAAAACAAATAATGATGTAATATTATTATTTAATATTATAAATAATATTATCATGGTAAACATAAGATTTAATATAACTTGTTTTTTAATATTACTAACAGTACACAAAAATATAATTTAATATTATTATGTAATATTATCAAAACTCTGATAGTAAAATAATAATAATAAACCAATAATATGAGTTAATATTTTTATTTAATATTACTAATATTGTGATTGTTAAGATAACAATAACATTTAATATTACTAACAGTACACAAATAATTTTATTTGATATTATTATGTAATATAAATATTCTGGAAGTAAACAAATATGACTTGACATTATTTAATACTACAAATTTTCTAATTGTAAACATAAATACGATCTAATATTATTTGTTGTTTAATATTACAAACAGTAAACAGAAAATATGATTTCATGTGTATTATTAATATTCTTATAGCAAAACACAATGATTTAATATCATTACTTATTAATTTATAATCAGTATATTAATATGATTTAATATAAAATAAATATTATAAACAAATATTGTGATTAAATATTTTATATACATATATTATACAGTATATATACATATATATTATACAGTATATATATATATATATACATATATTATACAGTATATATATACATATATTATACAGTATATATATATACATATATTATACAGTATATATACATATATATATATATTATACAGTACATATATATACATATATTATACAGTATATATATACATATTATACAGTATATATATACATATATTATGCAGTATATATATATTCATATAATACAGTATATATATATTCATATAATACAGTATATATATATATATATATATATATATATACATATATTATCCAGTATATACATATATATATACATATATATATATATATATTGCCTTAAATAGCTTAAATGTAAAAACATTTTTTTTACAAAGTCCCTTTCAAGGAAAGTCTGTTCACTCTGCAACCATATTTACAACACCTCCAGGCATCCAAGACCAAAACTGCATCCGAAATCGCATACTTCCCTTCTATATAGTAGGCAAAAAACAGCATGTGACAAAAGAAGTATGTCTGAATTCACTGTACTCATAAAAGAATAGGCAAAACGTCCCCGCATGACCTACTATTTTTTCTGAAGTGTGTATGTAACGTACTAGTCTGAGACACGAACGTTGAGAATCCAAATGCAGTTTTTAATGGGAAAATTCAAGATCATAAACCGTATAACAGGCAGTGGTCAAAAGCACTGGGTAATCAGTCCAAACAATGACAGGGCACAGGAACACTGACGAACAGGGTCATCCAAGAGACAGGCGAACAGGGAAAAAAACAGAGAACAGGGAGATGATCGAAATGGACAAACACTGGAACGCTCAGAAATGCAGTGTTACACGTGCAACACTTCTCAGGGAATGAATGTGAAAACCAGGCTAGTATAGGGCGAGTTAAACAAGGTAATGAGACACAAGTGGATGCAATGTGTGCTGATGAGTCCAGGCAGAGAGTTATGGGAAATGTAGTTTCATTAGGGAATGACAATAGTCTGATGTGGAGGGCCCTCTGGTGGCTCTCAAGGGCACTCCAGCTGGTGACCGTTGCAGTGCATATGATGGACACTTTACTATCCCATGAGGCCACGGGAGAGGATTTGAGAATGCAGTGAAGTGGGTCACATGATAATGACAACATGGAGAATAAGTAGTATGTCCAGATTACATTCACACTATATAGAGCATACTGTTTAGCAGTCATGAAGTAATTACTTCAATAAGTACCTACTTAATACTTAGTATGCGATTTTGGACGCAGCACAAGTCCCTTCTACTTGAAATCCTGAAATCTCAAAAACTGCTTTGCCGAACTCACAATTAAATGACGTATTTCAAATCAGCAATGACATCTGACATGAACTGTCACATGAAAATGTTGTTTCTTATGAGTAATATGAGCGCACGTCTTTGTGTATCTAAAGTCTTTGCTAACTATTAGCATGGCGACTTCTAAAAATAAGTGTAGCTTGACTGGAGTTTGTCTACTTTAAATCAAGAGTAGCTTCCTCACACTGCCATACTCATACACCATAGTATTTCCATGCTACTTTAAAACAATACCAGCATATTAGCATGGTGCTATGTGTCGGGAAGTGAATTTAGTTTATTCGTGAAGACTAAATATCAGGTGGCGTGGTTGTGTTACCTTGATGTAGGCACTGGGGTAGATTTTGTGGACGGCGTCACCCGGAGCTCGTCCAGCCTCGCGGTCCAGATAATAACTCTGCACAAACACTGCGTGATCACTGAGGCAGCGCACCCACACGTCACCCTCTCCTTTACACTCCAGCTGGACACCTTTACCGATATGAAGCCTGGAGGAGACAAGAACAGAGAGAGCTTGACTTGTCTGCAGTTAAGAAAGGAGAATCATGGGTAGATCTGAAACACATCAACCAGAGCTGCAGGACTGGTTCATACTGAATCTAGGTCAAATGAAGGAACAAAAATGCCAGCATCAAGTCATTTTTCTGTTCCAATTTAAAGTAAAATATCAGTATCACAACCACATTTTATGTTTAAAGTAGGGATGCACCGAAATTAAAATTCTGGGCCGAAACTGAAAATTCTGGATGCACTTGACTGAAAACCGAAAATGCTTTTTAAAAATTATTGATTTATTATTTCAAATTAGATTTTTATTGTATAATTGTACTAATATTAGAATTTTTTATTAAATTCCATATTTTTTTTATTATTACTTTCACTTAAAGTCCCTGTAAAGGCAATTTCAAAAAAAAATTCTAAACACATTATAAATGTTAGAAATGTATTGCTAAAACATATTACAAAGACTGTGAACTGTGAAGTACTGAATTGTGGAGTTAGACCGTTAAACAGTTTTTCACCATTGCTATTTTCCGGATTTTCTGGGCGGGGCTAAAACAGGGCTCGATGACGCACTGGAGCCCTTGAGCTCCTGGACACGCCCCTACTTGATGACGCACTGGAGCCGCTGAGGCTGGCCGCTCCTAACAATATTATAGAGCACATTCACATCAGTTTGCCGCTCAATCGCGAGTTACTGTCAGTACTATTATTAGTAACACAGCCTGCAGATTGCTAGCTAGCTATGTCTTCGTCACGGAACGGAAATGCGTAGCTACTACCTGGATGCGATCACCGGATCACGTACAAAACAGATCGGTGTCCTTATTTAAATTTCCGAAAAACGATTACATCAAGAAGAAGTGGATTAATTTTGTGAAGAGCCAACCTTGATGGAGAGCTGAGGATCACCGCCAAAACCCGCCTCTGTAAGTGATCATTTTACACGGGATAGTTTTATAAACTTTCGTCGGAGATAACTGTCTGGGATTCACTGATAATCCGCTGTTACTGGTGAATGGGGCCGAACCGACTCCCGCCTCAGCCTTCATCCTCCCGTCGCGCCGACAACTGGTGCCATTCGGCAGTGTGTGCCCACCGTGCTAGCATCTATTCCGGCTGTAGAGTTGAGTGTGGCGAGTCGACTGCAGCTTTCCCGCGAGTCGGCGTGGTTTCAGCGCAGCCAGTGGACACGCCCCCAGCGTTTGAGAGCAGAGAATACTGCTCATTTTTTCAAGATTTTGATAGCTTATTTTATGTACTTTGCTGGCTTTTTTTATCATTCAAATTTGGCTGGGTGACTAAAAACACATTTTTCTGTGGTGTGACAAACTCAAAACACATAGTAAATTTTGACTTTACAGGGACTTTAAACAGAAGCAAAATAATACAATAATACTAATAACTGAACATAAAATAACCATACTTTTATTCAGTTATTTATTTTTATCAAATTATTTGAATCTAAATGTATATCTTTTATTTATTTTAATCAATTTATTTCTTTATTTTAGTTTAATCCTATTTTTATTTATTTATTTTTTACACTTTTCTATTTTTATTTTATTTTAATTGATTTATTTTTAACCATTAATTGTATTAATTGTTACATTTTTATTTAAATCAAGTTTTTTATAAAAAATTTTAATGAAATGTGTTAATGTATTATTTATTTTAATCAAATGTTTTACTTTAATCAAATTTATTTTGTTCATTAGTTAACCCCTGCAACTCGTGATCCAATTCGCCTTTGGCTAAGCCACACCCTAGAATGTAGATTGACCAATCACAGCGCAGCCAAGAACGAGGTCCAACGCTTTTTCACAGCGCTCCATTGACTTTAACACAGGCGTCTCATATTTTTGGTCTCGGCAGGCTATTACCGTCGTAGTTTTATCAAAAATATGGTTAAACTTTGTGCCTGGGGCATTTGTAACACAGATACGCGTTTCCCAGAGAGGTTGGAGGGAGGTGTCCGTTTTTTTCCCTTCCCAAAACCGAAGTCAAATCCTGACAAGTGTCGTCTTTGGATTAAACTGTGTGGACGTCCTCACAGTCGGCTAAACCCCTCAAGGATCAACAAGCACACTTTTTGCTAACCAAAACATCACCTTGTCAGCTAACGTTAATGTTACCTAGCATACCGGTTGTTGATACGCTAATAAATACAACGTTATACTCGCGTAGTCCGTTTGCTTTTAATGATTATAGAAGTGAATAGAGACCTACCCAGCTTTGCATGAACAGTGTTGCTCCTTGATATTGTTAGTCCCAGCCTCCGTCTCGATTAGTAGGATATGCGGTGGGTCATTTTTTGACTGTGACCGGTTTGCTTTTGCCTCTATTTTGGATGCCTTGTTGTTCCTTGCGTTTCACCTGTATGTCATGAATATAGCCTTCGAACGTATATTGCAGCCGCTTTTGCCTACTTCTATCGGACACTTTATTTGCTGCTTTATAAAAGTTTGATCAAATTTCAGCAGGAAGAGCTGTCACAGCATAAGCCATGTTTATACCAGAGCCCAGATGAAGTTTGTTTGTCGGACGTAGCAACAGTAACTAAGGGGGCGGGGCTTAGCCAAAGGTGAATTGACTGATGGATGTAAACCAATACCTGGCTCTCTCGATGGCCTCGGTGCGATGGACGTTACTCAGCTGGCCGAGACAGAAGCGATCTCCTCCTGAAGGGTCCACATAACCGTCCACCGTTACGACGGGACAGTTGGAGGGCACCTTAAACGTCTCGCCCACCTGAATGTCCATCTCAAAGTATGCAATCGAGCACCAGTAATCTGGAGCTGAGAGAAAGACAACGAGAAACACCACAGTATAATATGAGTTCTGAATTATGCATATTTAAAATACTATAAACCATGGCTGCATAATGTTTTGATTACTTCACTGACGATGGGAAAGTAAATACACTGCTGTGTGTGAGAGGACATTACGGTAGCAATACTACACACTACAGTTTTGCTGTAGCTCAACTAGAGATGAGCGGCACTAGTGATGTAAAATCAACTCCTCCACCTCTGTACTGCAAGGGATTGTGGGTAATATTAGCCCATAATTCATCTACGGATACACACGTTTTATCCATACGTACCACAAGTACAAAGGAATTATTTAAATTAGCTTTTATATTTTCAGTTTGTACTTAATTTTTTTGTCATTTCTTTTAGGTTTAGGTTTTTAGAATATTACTACTCTTAAAATATTTTGGTTTACTTAGTTTTAGCTATAGTTCAGTTGTATTTAATTTATGTCTAGTGATTTTCCTGCTAAATTACTTAAATTAGAAATGTTTCCTTTGCCAACTAACTGCAATACGTTTTTCATCTAATATTTCTATTTTGTTTTATATCATCTTTATTTCAATTAACAAAATAAGTTTTCAATACTTTAAGTTTAAGCAGTTTAAGTTAACGATAATAACCCTGTCTGGGACAGACTAATCCTTATCTCACATACAGTCCAGTTTCTATAGTTTGTGAATCTGTTTTATTCCTTACTTGGATGTGTGGATATGGGCGGCTGGAACGCCAGCTCATTGTGGACTGACCCTGAGAAAGACAGAAAAAGAAAAACATTTAGGGTGCTTCACACTGGCAGTTTAGTTCGAAACGGGACGTGGTTTGCATGAAAAAATTGGTCATGTGAAAGTAGTCATTTCGCACTGGGGTACTGACCCCGAGACGACCTGAAGGAAGTGATCGGACAGACATTTTGTAGTGGTGTCCGAATACATAGTAGAGTCAGAGAATGTCTAATATGGGGAGAACTTTCATTTTCAGGAAACTTCCGGCTTCTGAACTGGTTGCAGTTCCACTCTGGGTCCATATGAGGGCGCTCACAGGACGAGTGCAGAATGAATGGAGGTCTATGGAGATATACCCCTCAAAATCCACTTTTCTCAGGATATCATTTTTTGTCTAGTAATTTGAATGTTGTTTTCGAAAGGAGATGCAAAGAAATTACAGATTACTGGCTGTTGGATTTTTTAGAGTCACTTAAAAGTCTTTTAAAATGTCAATGACGTCACACACATCGTACGACCAGAGATACTGCTTTACGGCAATCCTTTAGTCACTTTGGTGCGTTCGCGCTCTGCACTTTCCTTTCTCTCGAGGCATCGACCACACAGCTGACACGGGTAAATACACGTGCTAGAAGAGTTAAGTCCGCCTTAACATTCTGGTCCCGCTTCGGATGCCATCGTCTCTGGTCGTAATCAGTCCTTCACTGACCAATCAGCGTCCATTAGCAGAATGCTAGCGTGTTATGGGCAACAACAACTCAACCTGTAAGAAATCGAAAGGACATAAGTACTCGTTCATTCAACTTTCGACCTATAACCCATGTTGAACTTGCAAAACCTACATTCAAATCTGAGATTTCTCGACGGCAATCGGGTGAAAGAGACAAATTTAGCCGTCTAGCTCCATAGACTCCCATTCATTTTGCACTCGGGCGATCGCCCCCAGTGGAACTCTGGTGGAACTACAACCAAAATTCGGTACAATAGGACTTAATAGGGAGTGCCCAGCAGTGTTAATTTCGTTGACGAAAATAACGACGAAAATTATTCGTCAACGACATTTTTTCACAGACGAAAACGAGACGATAACTAAATAAAACCTAGTTTTGAATGACAAAGACTATGACGAAAATCTATTGACATTTTCGTCAACGAATAAAAACTAGACGAAAATGTTAGATAGTGACGATTTGGGAAGCGATCCGTCAGAACTGATGTCCTGCGTGTGTGGTAGATGCGCACATTTGTAGGCTACTGTAACGTGATCTACCCCGCGGTCATAAAACGTTAAAAAATGTGAACGTCTGGGAGAATGAGTAGAGCAGACATATAGATCTCTGAATAAGAGTGACGATGCAAAAAAGAGCTCTATTCGGTGCGGTTTTCTGTGCGCACACACCTAACCCGAAGCGTGCAGTCATGCACAATACACCTACAGCGCGCGAGTAGGCTACTGAATTGAGCTCTCTTTCGTGTCTGAATGGAGAAATACACAACAGTATGTCTAAATGTCCTTTTTGGAGAGTATTCATGTAAACTATGCTGGTTATGTCTTAAACTGTGAGTGTGTCGGATGTGCATCAGTGCAATTGTATCCGCATGTCATTGGACATGATCCGACGTCTTAAAGTGACAGTGGCAATAAACCTAATGCGGTCCGTGTCCTTAATTTTGATCAAGCAACAAAAGAAAAAGAGAAAAGCATTCACTGTTTGTTAATAGCTTTAATAAGGATTAATTATATTTAATTCATACAAATAAATATGTCTGCTTGAAAGAATAAAGAATGATGTGTAAGTAGTTATAAGGAATGAATATATCATTCATTGTAAAGAAGACTGTGTTGTACTTTAGGAAAAGTGGTTTTATTTCATTTTAAGATATTTTTTAAGTAATAGCAGTTAAATCTGTATCTGTATTGCATGTTCAAACTTAAAAATCATTCATATTAACAGGTTAATAGATGTTTTCTCCGGGAGTATATGGGTTTGGAAATTTTAGAGAAATTCTAAATTAACAAACTAAACCCATTATATTTTAGTCGACTAAATCTACTGTAGATTTAGTCGACTAAAATGTTATTGTATTTCGTCGACTAAAACTAGACTAAAACTAAAACAATTCAGATGACTAAAATATGACTAAAACTAAATGGCATTTTAGTCAAAAGACTAAGACTAAAACTAAATCAAAATTTGCTGACAAAATTAACACTGGTGCCCAGGCTTTCCGTAGACGGGCTTTGATAGAGTGCACTCATTCAATGCCATAATGCACCGCAATTACAAGTGTACAACTGATGTATGCTCAACGGATAGAGAATGCCCATAATGCAATGTGAGGGTCATGCCGAATAAATTCCCGTGTCTAACCAGTAGATGGCGAAGGTGAATCAGCCATAAATGTATTGCAGATATCATTAATGTTCAATAATTTAATGTACAACATAATTCAAGAAAAATGTGTCTTATTTGAAGGGGAATTATATCAGAAGGCCAAATCCTGACTGGACAGGAGGAGCTGGGGATGGAGGAGGGTAACACTCCTGAGCAACACGATAAGCTGCTGAATGGACCTTATATATATGGGGATGCAGTGATAGGCGTCGTATGGATGAGCTGAGAGTCAGCTGATGCGAGCTTGACTGACTCCACCTGCCAGAACTGACGCTATGCTTGATTTGTGCAGACGTAAGATGAACGCAAATGCACCGGGGTTCGATAGAATCGAGCGAGTGTAAACCAGACCAACGCTGCGAACGCCTGGCGTGAAAGCCCCGTTATTAAGAGCAAAGCAGACCGTGGTGTAGTTAGTCACTCACAGTACTGGCCCGTGTGAGGCAGGGGAGGATGGTGCTGCAGGTGCCCGTTCTGATGGGGGATGCTGGGGGGGAAACTACTTCCTCTGGGCCATGAGCTGGGGGCATCTAATGGAGGAAAACACAGACATCATACGGTCATAGAATATCATTACACATGGCATTTATCTATGCTTTTTTGTTGCAGAATAAGAATGAGCATAAGAGACTTCTTTCAAAAACACACACACACACACACAAATCAATTTCAATCACATTGCCCCATTGTGTGCCGAGTTACCATGAACATGTTGATTTGACAGTTGGGATATAACTTAAGATGGATGAAGTACACATGTACACATGCATTCTGCCTCCAGTGGCCGCTGGGTTGCACAAAAGGATGAAATAACGACTTACTGGTTGGACCGGCAGCCATACTGGTGAATGCAGAAGTGGAGGCGGAGCTTGTGGAGTCAGCTGGGGGCAGGAGGGCGGGGCTGTGGAAAGCGTCGGGTGGAGCAGAGGAGGTGCCAGTGTGTTGGATGGTTTGAATACTATGACCTCCATCAGCAGATGAATGTGACGGCTGACCCTCAAACTCGTCCTTCACCATGAGCTCTCCACTCGGACCTACACATAAATGTGAAAAATGACTGGATCATATACAGTTATTCGAACATTAACCCAAAATAAATACCATTAGGAAACAAAATATACATTATCCTGCTTATTTCACAGCTACTTAGAAAATAAAGTATAAATGGACATGAAATATTGATTTGAGTTTAAATTTTTTAACTACGCCAGAAGAAATGGAGTGTGGAGTGATATGAGAGAGACTGGGGTCGGTTTCATTTTTTTTTTTATATCTGTGGAAAAAAGCCAATTATGCTCAACAAAGGCTGCGTTTATTTGATCGAAAATACAGTAAAAACAGTAATATTGTGAAATATTATTGCAATTTAACATAACTTGTTTATTTTAATATATTATTATCAATGTTGAAAACAGTTTTTGCTGCTTAATATTTTTGTGGAAACCATTTTTTCAGGATTCTTTGATGAATAGAAAGTTCAAAAGAACAGTATTGAGACTTTTTTTTGTAACATTACAAATGTCTTTCTTTCAGAAAAAAAACTTTTGAATGGTAGTGTTTAATATTATTTTACAACTTATACAAAAAAAATATATATATATATATATATTTATATATATATATATACTGTATATATATATATGCCATAAAATATATATATATACATATAGTAGTCCATAAAAGTGCACCCTTACCTGGGCCGCCCAGAGTCAGGACAGACAGATCTGAAGACAGAGAGAGAACATATATTATTAGAAATAATAATAATATGATATGAACATGGGCACTGGAAACAAATTTTTTGCCATGACAAAGTTTCAAATCACAGCAAGACAACAGAAAATAATTCACCGATGCTTGGAGACACGACCCTCTCATAGTGATATGGGTTCACACACACATTGTCGCATTTCAGGTCAAAGGCAAACTGGCAGTACTTCACGTGCTTCAGCTCGTTCTTGTGCAGATCGGGCCATCGCCACAGCCGTGTGTATATGACATGAGGAAACCCTTTACGACCGGCCACCTGAAGATAAGATATAGGACAGAATCTCATACATGTAACTTCCTTTTCTAACATTCAAGATAAGTGTGTTTTCCCGAGAAACAGACCTGCAGTCTCCCGTCTAGCGTGCGCTGTATAGTCACACATTTACTGGGATGAGCTCCGTTCGTAGTGATGGCAGTGATCAGTGAGTCTAACTCATCTTTCTTCTCTTTCAGCTTCTTCACCAAACTTTCTATCGCTCGTTTGGCGAACGTCTCGCTCTCTCCTCCCTGCCGATGGCACATGAGACTGTGGACGATGCTCAGACAGGCATCATTACTGGTGGGTGTGCTGGAGATGGACATGCTGCTGGAATACACTCAACCACAACTCAACGTCCTTCAAACCTCTCCAGCTCCTGTCTTCACACCTTGATGTTGAGACGTGATCCACACTGTCCTAAAAAAACACGGAGAGACTGTAAGCACGACTTATTCACCATTAAACAAAAACTGACTGACCATACTTTTTTTTAAAAAAATGTATTAATGTCCCCTTGTAATCTTTAATCAAAATAACTTTCCCTCCCTCTTGATGTGACAACCTGTCACTCACATAACATCAGCAATAGTAATTGGAAAAGTCCCACCCTACATTTGTTCTTGTTCATGAAGCGGTTTCACTTGGACATCCGTCACAATAGGGAAGAAAATACGATTGCAACCTCTGTTTAATGCCAACTAAACTATTTTTACACTGAGCTGTATAAAATAAACATACAATTATTTGTCATGTATATATATGTGTGTGTTTGTGTGTGTGTGTGTGGTTGTTATTGTATATATATTGTATACATATATACAATATATATATATATATATATATATATTGTTGTTGTTGTTGTGTATATATGTATATATATGTATATATATATATATATTGTGCGTATGTATGCGTATGTATATGCATGCATATATATAGCCTGTATGTATACATGCGCTCAATATACAAAATGATACTGATAAATCAGTTGAATTAACATTTTTGTTCTCTGTCAAACACAGTGATGAACTCATACTGATCTATTAATAAATTCTAAACTCATCAAAAGCACATCATTACACGTAAGTATTGTAACAGTCAAATATGTGAACGTGAATAATAATAAATCACAGTTCACTATGACAATACAACTGATCTCACTATGAAGCTAACGAGCTAACTGGCTAACAGATACTCCTTAAATGTGTGGGGAATGGACAAATAAAGTATCTACACGAGTGCTATAGTAAAATATTAGGTAGATATTAGAAATAAAATAAGAAAATATAAACAGAAACACTTACGATTCATGGAGCAACGACAGGGACATTGTCTCTACGTAAGCTCAGTGATGTCATCATCGCTCGAGTGACGAGCGGTATTAAGCCCCGCCCACACAGATGCTCTTCTTGCTTCATGACTGAAAACTAGTGTAAAACTGCTGGCTTAATATGTTATATACTACTAGGACAATACTTAATCTTACTAAACTCTACTTGGTTGAACTAAAGGTTCTAACACTAAGTTCTCAATAGCATACAGTCCTACTTTCTTCAGTACATGTAGTATACTGTACACAGTATGCATTTTTCAGTATGCACAGAACTCCTGGAAGACATTTGCACACTGCTTGTAAATAATGCAACGCATTTGATCATTTCCATTGTGATGAATGAGTTAGAAGCAATATCTGCAGCAATTTTTACAAGAACCTTCACTCAGTTTTTGACCCAACTAAATTATGTGACAAGTTCCAGCATACAATTGTTTGAAGCTCCTATTATATATTGCATACTGTTTCATATAATTGTAAAACAGTATGCACTATGCACGTAGTATACAGAATACATTATGTATACGATAAGCCCTCCACTTGTGTTCTGAACATCATTTAAGACACTACTGGACTAAGATTTCTTTTAGTCTTATGTCTTTAAACCTGTATGATAGATAGGCATAATCAATCCTACTCCTGGAAGTCCATTTCTGTATAAAATATTGTCATTTCTGCACCAAATGAAGTTGCAACTCTGTTTGTGTGACTCAACTGGGCCTGACATGACATGGCTCAAGATACAGTGTGAATTTAGAGCAGAACAACCTATTTGACAGATGGGGAAGTGTTTGGTATTTTATTAAAAACAATTGTTTATGCAATTTCCTTTTTTTTTTGCAGCTAATGACACAGAAATTGCATGCTTTATTTACGGTTTACCATATCAGGCATGACACACAACATACATAATACTTAAAATAGTTTTTAAAAAATCAGAATAGAATATTGAACCTTTTGACAATACAAGAGAATCTATATAATATAGTGAGAATATGCATGTCATACTCGAAAGGGGGGGGGGTGATTCAGGGGCCCAAAATGGAGTAAAAATATGCAATTTGATGCAAATGTTGTTATTTATATGTCCAAAAAAGTAAGATGAGGTAGCTTTTAATGTAAATCAATGCAGATCTTTATAACAGTGCAGCAGACACTTACATAAATGCATAGAAATACAGTATCAGTCGTCACTCTATATCTCTCAATGACATGTCCTATTAAGATGATATTTAAATGCTTAGTTTAATGATCAAAGCTCTTTCGTTTTTTAATTGTGGGGGCAAACCATAATACAATAATGATTGAGAGATGAGCAAATAAACATTCCTCAAAAGCCTGATGATAATATTTGATATTCACATTTTAACATGCCTTTCCTAATGATGTATGATCACCGAAGTTGCTTCAGTCCAAGTGTTCATCTTGAAATATTACTAACAATATAAAAGTTATTCTTACGTTTGCTTTATAAAAATCATAACATATTTCACAGTAAAAAGACAAGTGAACCCCAACTTGAAGTGGGACACTTTTACAATTACACTAAAAGGCCTCTTACGTGCTTAAAAAAAACGACAAACTATCAGACAACAGAAAGCATTTAGTAAATAGTGTACAACAGATTTATAGGCCTTAGACGCTCATGTATCAAACATGATATAGTAGGCTTTATAGGGTTAATATCATCATCATCATCATACCCACAGAACACAAAAACTGTTCGTGCATGTCATTATAATACAGTAGTCAACATTTGAAGTGGATCAAAGTTCATCAAAGTTGTCCTAAGACAAGAACGGGTATTGTTCAAAATTCATGTATACATTTGATGAAAGGTTTTGATCCACTTCAAATGTCGTCTCCTGTAGTTCAGGCCGAATAAAGTCAAGTGAAGACTTACCAACCTCAGTCCACTGGTCAACAAATAAACAAATAAAATTATTAACAATGATAAAACATGTTTAAATCTCCCCTGCTCATTGATAACTGCACGCATTTCACCACGCATACACTCATGAATTCACCTCTGAATCAACGACAGTGGAAAAATGACAGGCTTTATTAAAACATTTCCTTATACTAAAATATAACCATTGGAAATTGCATCCAGAGTAACTAACGCATCAGATTCTTTTTGAGTGCAACCGGCAGCGTGAGAAAGTCTTCGGCCAGAATGACCTCAGTGCTCGACCCCTGCAGCACGAGCTCAGCTTGTCTCTTCAGCTCCGTCACGTCGTCGTCTCCGTCCCGCCGCAGCGCTTCGGGTTTGTAGCGTTGACTGAAGTGGTGCAGAACGAGTGTGTGTGCCCCGCACGCGAGCGCCACCGCGGCAGCCATGCTGGGAGTGCTGTGTCCGTGATCCACTGCCTTCTCCTGCTGCCCGTCCTCCAGCGTGGCCTCGTGCACCAGCACATCTGCCCCCTGACACACGCTTTTAAAGCCCTCACCCAGCGCCCCGCTGCAGTCCCCGAAAACACACACCTTACGGCCCTTCAGCGCCGGCTCCAGCACCTCGCTGGCGGTCAACACACGTCCATTATGTAGAGTCACAGACTCTCCGTTCTTCAGACGACCGTATAGAGGTCCTGGTTTCAAACCTACAAAAAAAAAAATCCAAAGATAATGAGAAATACAATTATACCTTACAGTTCAATCAATGACTCACATTATGTGATAGCCAGATGCAGTACTATATGGCAAATATCAACGGCTTGATTCTTATATCCTCAAAAAAATCGAAACAGAGCAATATATTAAACGGTTCTCTGTCGAATCGAACAGTACCGTTCTCCAGCCACGGTTCGGCACGCACTTGCAACGCGATTTATCTCAAATCTGACGACGAATCTATAATATGGTTTGTTGAAAATAAGGGTGTATTCACACCTGCCTTGTTTGGTTCGATTGAATCGAACTCTAGTTCGTTTCCCCCCTTGGTGCGGACCTTTTGGGCAGGTGTGAATACAGCAATCGAACTCGGGTGCGGACCAAACAACCGAACCGAGACCCAGCTGAAGAGGTGGTCTCGGTACGGTTCCAAACGAACTCTGGTACGGTTCGTTTACGGTGTGAACATGAACCGACCCAATTGCAAGAAAGCACTGCGCCTTTGAGTTAACAGGCTTCCGTAGTCGGAGTTGCGTTATGGGAAAGTGATCTAGCCTACTCTTTCTGCGCGTCGTGTGTGCATCATTGGAATGGAATGAATGAATGAGTGTGTGCATCAGGACATTCACACACAGAGCGTTCTCTTTAGTCTAATCGCGCATAGATGCAAAAAAAAGCATTTGCAGTTCATATTATATGTAACGATAGTTATAATACAAGGATGATGCTGCGTTAATTTACGTTAAGCCTTTTTTGCACTTCCTGATTTCCCTACTTGAGAATCCTTGTCCAATGAATGGACGACCTTAGAAGCACACGTGTGGTTTTGTTTACAAATTTTGGTTCACTTGCAAAAAGAGCAGTGTGAAAGCGAACCGTAACAAAAAAAATAAAATAAATGTCTTTGGTCCGGACCAAACCAAGTGAACTATCGGACTTTCCTGGTGTGAATACACCCTAAATAAAACAGACAGACAGAGTTAGGCTAATGTATTTTTCTGTCGATGGATAAGCATTCTGGCATTTTATGCTCTATATGACCAGTCATTTACGCCGTCATCACCCGGAAGTTGATACACATAAATGTGTATAAATTAGGGCTGTCAAATGATTAATCACGATTAATCACATCCAAAATAAAAGTTTTTTTTACATAATATATGTGGGTGCATTGTGTATAATTATTTTGTATATATATAAATACACACACATGCATGTATATTTAAGAAAAAAATATAATTTATATATAAAATATTTATATTTATATATAATATAAATTATATATAAATCTATATACAGTATATACATGAAAATATTTCTTAAATATATACAAGCATGTGTGTGTATTTATATATATAAAATAATTATACACAATGCACCCACATATATTATGTAAAAAAAACTTTTATTTTGGATGTGATTAATCGTGATTAATCATTTGACAGCCCTAGTATAAATGTGTATTCAGTTTTTCACAAATTAAAATATGGCCCTGTTCACGTCTGGTATTAAGATGCGTTTTGGTCGATCGGATCACAAGTGGACCGCGCTACATACAGGAGTAAACGGGTCTAAAGCGCTTTGAGCTTGTCCACTTTCAACCACTTCCAGAGGCAGTTGAAAACACATTCGACCACCGGATTGCTTTCGTAGTGTAAACGCTCATGTGGTCGAGTGTGTTCAAACAGACACACAATACCGTCTACTCTCCTTCTACTGAACTATGAATTAACATTATGGGAAGAGCTCTAGCCAGACGGGATTTAAACTGTCGGCTGAAGACCCAAGTTTGGTTTCAAGAGGAAAAATGCACCAAGCACAATGTTCTCTCACCATTCCTGATTTCTAACACACACTCACAGCGTTCGGCTGGTCTTACGGCTGTCAGAGCAGAAACTAAACCTGATGTTCTCCGTGTGTCTCCGGTCGCGTTCATATGTAAATTCAGCTTATTTTGTCCATTAGATCGAAAGATCTGAAAAAAACCCATACATTAACCCGCTCACAGACCCTCCCCTCGAAGAAATCAGGACAGAAGTGTTTGAAAGTGGACAAAAGAGACGGATTAAAACACCAGGTGTAAACGGGAATGTGTCTCCCTCATCTACTTGTGATACAATCACAAAAACACATCTTAATACCAGATGTAAACAGGGCCTATGAAAAACTTTACAAGATTTGCGATGTTGGAAACTGTGAAAAGGGTCCATTCTGAAAAAAACAGGTTACCTAGTTCTTTCAACAGGTCTGTGTTCAATCGTCCTGGACGTTCCCTTTCCTCCACCGAGAACCCGAACGATGGGACTCTGTGATACAGCTTAAACGCTTTAACCACGAACTGTGTGTCATCAACGAGGTCATAGCAGTCAGTGTGCGGGTCCAGGCGTACGGTTCTGCCGGGACGCTCCTGTGGGTGAAGCGCATCACTGCTGGAGGTCAGCGCAGGACTGAGACGCCCCTCCACGGGACACTGCTCATCCGACGGCTCCAGCTCATGCACCGCATACGGGAAGAGCAGCTGAGAGCTGGACAGCTCCAACGCCACACGAACGAAGTGTCGTAACCCTCGCGGGCCGTAAACGTCCACACAGGGCACAGGCTGATCCGGCTGAGGGTTCGAGTTCAGACTGATGGTGCACAGCAAACCAGGGAGACCAAAGAGATGGTCACCGTGGAGGTGAGATATGAACACTTTGGTGATTTTGCCTGAAAGAAATTTATAAAAATGACTATTATTACTGTATTTATCATCAAATTAATGCATAGTCTGAGCATGAAAAAAAGTTTAAAAAACAATACAGACCCCAAACTATGACCATTAATAATATGTTTATTTATTCCATTAAAGCATATCGATTTAGTACATATTATGACAGCACTTTTCAAAATATATAGCTTTACAGAAAACATTTTCATGACAATTAAACATATTCTGTCTAAATTTTTTCATTACCATAATGCAATATTTACATTTACAGTGGTTACACACATAGTAAATGACTGAAAAAAAGCTTGATAGCCCTCAAATCTTTCCTATTAGCATAAAATAATTTCATATTTCTTTGTTTATTTTAAAATCCTAATTTTTGACAGATTCATTAGATTCATCCAGGAAGAGGACGATCATGCAACATGTACATATAAACATGAAATCAAAATTGATCTAAAACAGCAGTAAAGCAGGCAGACGCGAAGATGAGTGAGTGACTGACTTGCTTTGAGCGAACTCCTCATGAACTGAGTCTGTGTTCCTTCTCCACAGTCAAACAGCCAACTCTCCCCTTCAGTGCGCAACACGAGCGCAGACGCGCCGCGGTTAGGAGACGGGTATGCGGACCCGGTCCCGAGGAACGTGATGTCCATCGACATGCTGCTGTTCTGTGCACATGTGGCGGACAAATAACGTGAACACTGTGTTAGAATAAACCTGAACGTCCCCCATAACCAGCTGAGCTGAACCACAACTGACACGCGCTCAATCAACATCCGGGGTACGAGCTCATATTTGCGTACTGCATACTGCACACTACACTATAGAAGACCATTTCCGCCACATAAGCAACAACGAATCGTGATTTTTGTAAATCATAATAATGACATAAAATAACGAAATTTTGACATGCTGCTAAGTCACATTTATGAGGTAATTTCTTTTCGAAATTATTAAAAAAATCAAGAGAAAGTCATAATTTCGACTTTTTATGTCATTAGTATGATTTAGTCATATGACTAGTCATAATTTAGCTTGTCATAATTATGACATAAAGCATCAAAATGATGACTTAGTATGCACTTCCATAGTGTACACTATTACCGACCATAAGTATGACATAAAAAGTAAAAATTATGACTTAGTATGCACTTCCATAGTGTACCCTATACAACCCTTAATAACTTTTTGTACATTTTGAGTATGCTGTATACTATTTTAAAAACATATGCAAAACGATATGCACTAGGCCAGTTATTTTCAGTCTTTTAGATGCCACTGACCCCCAAAATATGATCATTTGCATGCCAGGGACCCACATCCTAAAATTGAAAAGATAGCTATTATCTATAGGCTATTTTTATGTTTAAAGAAGACCCAATTAATACTGTGAGAAATGTATGTAATAAATGTGTAAACTATTTAGTTTCTATTAGCCTACATTATATCATTGTTTTTTTTACTCACATTTTGATCAAATAGATACATTTATTATTTATTTATTTAAATCATATTTCATTTATTTTAAGCATTTTATTTTATTTTAAAACTATTTATGTATTTACTAAGTTTAATCGTATTACGTTACACTGATTTTAATACTTTTATTTACTTAAATGAAATCTTTATTTTAATCTACTGCTTTTATAGTTATTTTTTTTTGTTTAAATTACATTTTATTTAAATTAATGTATTTTAAACTTATTTTAATCATGTTTTCATTTATTTATTTTAACCATTTTTATTAGTTAGATTAATCTTATTTTTATTGATTCATTTTTACCTTTTTTTTATGATCTTCAATATTATTTCTAAATGTTTTGCGTTTTAATTCCAATTTTGTGTAACTATGTCTTCAGGTTTGGAATTTCAGTCCAATAATAAGCCAACAAAGATTTTAAAATATTTGTTGAGATGTTGGATACTGGATTACTACTTATAGGCTTCCCAGAAATAAATACTTTCACATTGATCCTTTTTTTTTAAACATTATAATTATTTCTTATTTATTTTCGTATAATTGTCTTAACCTCCAAAGGCAGTCCAAATACCTATTCAAGAAAAAGATGTTAAAAATTACATTAGTCTGGTTCTCGTCGAGTTCCTTGCATTATTATGGGATAATTCATTAAAAAAAAAATGTCATAGGCTAATTTAAATCAGCATACATTAAAAAAAAATTCTTTAATCCATGAAAATGAGGGCAGCAAACAGACCAGCAATGACTTCTGCACAGATTAGAGCACACATGTTTATTCTGCTCAAATCTCCACCGGTGTGAGGAAGAACTGCATTCAGAAACATTAAAGACATTATCACAGGTGCACAACACTGATCAAACTTACTAAATCCTTCAAGGACTGACAGAAACTAAGCATATTTTGGTCATGGATATGAGAATGTTCACTTTGTTCGATAAGCTGATGAAAGAAAATGAAACCTTCAATGGGCAGTTTTTAAACTTCTATGAAAGGTAAAAAGCAAATCATGATAATCTATAAACTTGCTGCTCTTGTGATCTTTGGCTACTTCGTTTACAATGGCATATCAAATATTGTACGATGAGCGGTGACTATATAAAGGTGTATAAGCAGGCACTTGTTATGAGGTACTACCACACTGGTACTTTTCTGATTGGTCAACAGGTGCGGTCAAATAATTTTATATAATGACTATTTAAATGTATAGTTTACTGCCGTTGCATGAAATCTACATATTGTAGCTGTGATTGTCTTATATCTTTAATATCACTCAAAATTCTTCTCACATCATTTTAACTCAGATCAATATTTCCATATATTTACTTATTTGGGAAGTAGCTGTGTAACAAGTTAGATAATGTACAGTCAGCCAGTTTATTTTGTGATGAGATTAATTTCCTGTTTTTTCTTATAAAGAATGTGTTTGTATCCTAAGCATCCATACACGTGTGTAAATATTTGCTGGTAAAAACTCACAGTCACAGCTACAAATGCACACCACTGTAATATTGTGCAATATACTAGAAACTCTGCTAGTCCTTCATGTCCTGTGCTTCCTCCGCTACTATGAAATAAATGGATCTTTATGATCTGAATGACTGTCACAGACACAACAAGAAACAAACACAAAGAACAAATGGAGTGTGACTTCATTTTAGAAAAAGTTTCATTGCACATAGCATTTAAAAACAAATGTGAGGAGTGACAAGGCACAGTATTACACTCAACACTGGAGCAAAGGATAGAGTATAAAAATAAATAAATAAAATACATTTTGCATATAATAAAGGAAGCCTAATTAGACCATTAGTTTATTTTGCATTGTGACATTACTTTCATAACAATTCGGCACATTTATCACAAAATTCGGCCATTACTATAATGGCCGAGTTTTGTTTTTAATTCTCAGTGGATTCTTATTAGATTCTCGTTACTGAAGGTTTTTTTTTTTACTATATTAGAGACAAATGTCAGGAAATACAACAAAATACTATTATGTGTAAATACTTTAAAATTTGAATAAAGTATTTTTACATATTTTATTAGTGCATTTCGGGTAAAAAGTGCTTCATTGTGACGGAACTGACAAAATGCAACAAAATCCTAATGATCCTAAAAGCAGGCTTAATTATCTTTATGCACAATACTATTTTGCATTTATTTATTTTGATTCTGGGGTTAAATGTGACCGGGAATTGTAAAATTCAATTTGAAAATGCAATTTAAACAAGGGGTCAGAAATATGAATACATACTGGAAGTTGCAAAAAAGAAAAGAGGAGTGCCTAAAAAAACTCCCTTCATACTTCCTTGTTTTTGTTCTGTCTCTCTCTGTCTGGTATTTTCTCATGTGTTCATCTAGTCTACAATGGGGCTGTGAGAAACCCCGGGCCAGTCGTACATGTCGGGTGCGAATGAATCGTAGTTGATCTCCCACAGAACTGATCTGACGTACGCTTCCTTATCCACAGGCTCTGGGTAACGGAACGCCATTCCATTTGAATACACGTACTCCACCACCTGTGCACAAAAACACATGCCTTAGCAGTGGGTTATGGTACACAACATGTAATTTGATATATATATATATATACATATATTCTGTATATATCCCACAGTAAAAAATATTAAAGTTGACAATTAGGCAAATTCTTATTACCATAGGGAGCATGGATATTTACTTCCGAGTTTTGTTTTTAATTGCCATTATTCTCATGGATTCTTATTACTGTAATGATTTACCTGTATTAGAGTGAAAGGGTGTAATACAAATGAATGAATTGTACAAATATTGTATATCACACACACACAAATTATGTGTCATTTGTGTCTCATCTAGTTGGCATTTATCTGAACAGGGCAGTTTATGAATACTTTAACATAATTTGTTTGACAGAATGTTAGACTGAAACGGCAAACATAAGGCTTTTTAAGACCGTTTTTTTAAGACTTGCACAGATAAAATTAACCCCTTAAGTCCTGAAGACATTTTTAGAGTTGTTTTTTTGTGAGTGACATACACAAAAGTAAAGACTCATAACTCCAAAACTATAGCAAGGAGAGTAGAAAGGTGGGTATCATTTGATAGAAAACTTTAAAATGTCAAAATATATTTTTGTTACATTTGGACATTCTCATGCTGAGATTTTTTTTTTTTTTTTTTTTTTTTTTTTTTAAGTGTGCACAAGGAAAATGTTCTATTTGACATGCAATAACTAGGACAAAATAATCATATTTTAGCATAAAGTAATCAAAAGTTACAGAATTTGGAACCAAGGTTGCCTTTTTGTTTAGCCCTTGACACCCGTTTTATGTGTTATAACTGCAAGAGAGAATATCTGTAGATCTAAGTGACGGATTATGGTGATAATTGTGATCTCTTTATAATTGTGAGAATCTGCTGTAAATAATGATGCATCATTTTCGGAGCATGTTTCGTATGATGTGCCACGATCGGAGCATGTTTCATGAAGTTACGAGCGAAAACGTGACATAAATGGCGCATCCGTATTTACATATGGGCCTTCACGTACAAAAACTCACTCAAGTTTGGTCAAAACCCAAAACATTTATACTTCTTGTATTCTACCCAGTGAGACCTTTCAATTGACATATGACTATCTGAGTCATAGTATCTGTCAGAGTCTGTGTATCTGAGAAAGTCATATACACCTAGGATGGCTTGAGGGTGAGTAAATTATGGGATATTTTTCATTCTTGGATGAACTAACTCTTTAAGGCTTTTTAAAGACTTATAAAGAGGTCAGGGACCCTGACCTACTGTACACTCATGTTTACTTGGCTGTTCTTTTTTTGTTTACATACAGACTATGTCCTAAAACACACACACACACACACACAGTCTCACCTTGATAGCCATCTGTAGTGACACCTCTCTGATGTTGGACAGCGGTGGATACAGTCGGCCCTGACTCAGCTCTTCATCTGTGAGCTGATCCGCCAGCGTCTAAAACGACAAAACCACTGTTTTATCAAATATCAAATATTAACTAGAACAAGTTCTACTTTCTACAGTCATGCAATGCAGGGTTAATAACTTATAAACAGTAATAGGCGTATTCGTGATTAAGCAATATTTAATTAATTGCTATAATTTAACTGATTAAGCTAAACAAGCGTTCCAGCATATACTGTACTTGTTCAGTAATCATACAATCAGGAGTGAAAGAGCTGGTGATGTCAAAATAAAGCAGCTTGTTGGACTATAATGTACAAATATTTCACAAACCACTTTATTTATTGGAGAAAATAATGTTTATAGAAACCAGAGTGTTTATGATTATGATAA